TGAGAGAGAGAGAAAGAGAGAGAGAGAAAGAGAGAGAGAGAGAAATAATAAATGAAGGAGAATGAAAGAGAGAAGAAAGTGAGAGAGAGAGAGAAATAGAGAAATAGAGAAGAAAGATTGGGAGAGAGAAAAGAAAGAGTGAAAGAGCGAAAGAATGAGAGAGAGAAAGAAAGAATAAAAAGAGAAAAAGAATGAAAGAAAGAGAAGGAAAGTGAGAAGGAATGAGTGAAGGAAAGAGAGAGAGAGAAATAGAGAAGAATGATAGAGAGATAAAGAAAGAGAGAGAGAGAGAGCGAAAAAATAAAAAAGCGAGAGAGAGAGAAATAGAAAGAAAAAGAATGAAAGAAAGAGACGGAAATATAGAAAGAAAAAGAGAAGGAAAGCGAGAAAAAGAAATAATGAAATAAAGAGAACGAAAAGGAGAGAAAGACTGAGAGAGAGAAAAAAATGAAAGAAGAGAAAGAGACAGAAAAAGAAACCAGCGAGACAGAATGAAAGATATATATATATATATATATATATATATATATATATATATGAATGTATGTATGTATGTATATATATATAGAGAGAGAGAGAGGGAAAGAAAGAAAGAAAGAAAGAAAGAAAAGATGGTGAAAAACAGTTGCAAAATAATTTGAAGGCAACTTCAGAACACTGCTTTCGGCTATAATCACGTTGGATTTCTCATCGTTTGTGCCGAAAAAAAAAACGGTGCGATGTTGCAATTTCGACTTTGTTTTCTCAAAACACGAACTTCTAATTTTCTTCTTCCGCCTGTCTACTCATCATTACCACCCGGCGCCTGTCCTCCACGATTACTTCCTTGATGTTTATACCAATATAAGTACGTTGTTTTGTTTCACACCTACTTCCTGAGCATGACGGAAGATTGGAAATTCTGAGGAGCGTAGAACCACCTCTTAATTGCTGTTATTCCCAGATTCACCCTGACCCGGGGTGGTAGCAACTGTTAGGGTCACAGCTATTGGCAAACAGTGGACCCCCAAACCAAAACAAAATACCATGAAAATATAAAATTCATTTTTATATATAAAAAATTACAAACAATACCTATTTATATCATATAAGAGAGAAAGTCAATAATTATACGCACTCATGACACATATATATGATGGCGAAAGTGTGAATAATTTTTGACTTAATTTCATATTTAGCTGAAAACCATGAAATTGTGTTCAAAATTTTAGATTTCGGGATTTAAATAAACCATAGAAATTGATATGCCGCTAAACAAAATCAACCAAACAGACAAGCAACATGAAATAACTCTTTCATGACAGTAATCTATATAATGTCCTAAAATTTACTAAAGCAGACTGTACTCCCAAATATAACAGCAACAAAATGTTGTAATATAAGCAAAGCCTGTTCAGATTGGTGGGGGAACCTAACCGATTTTTGTCCCAGTAACCACGGGTTTGATAGGGAGAGAGGGGAAAGAGACGGGAGTTAACAAAAAATAACACTGCCTCGGAAACCACAGTAACTTGAAGAACAAAAATGACCAAGGGACCGACTTCACAAGATGTTATACAAAGACCCGGATTTTGTCCAGTTATAGCGAGACCCGAATCTAACTAGACACGCCAAACTGACGGTGAAAAAAACCGGATGTAACTGGGGTCGACGAACACGTCATCATGCGATCCGAGGCCGCTTTTGCGTCTGTACTGAGACGCATTCGCCACATAAAACTACATGGTGGTCCGAAAGTTTTGTCATCCAAAATGTAATGAGAGCAATAGAAGAACAAGTAATACAAAATACATGCACTGGATTCACTTTATTCACTTTCATTGAGGTTGTCACATATCGAGATGGTCTGTATGAACGCCATCTTCGTGGCACAAAATGATGCAGCACCATGTTCTGTGCGATATTTTATGAAGCTGTGCTTTGTTGATTGTTGCAAAGGCTCTCCGAATGGCGTCCTTCAACTGATCTCTATTCTGGTATCGTTCATCCTTGATAATACCCCACAGAGCGATGAAATAGAAAATGATATCATGTAACGGTGACAAGACTTTCGGACCACCTTGTACACCATAAAACACAAATATCACCGTCTATAGTAATCATATCCACACGAACATGTATATGCAAAAAAAAAAAAAGCAAAAAAAAAAAAAAGCTATGCATCATCAACCATGTATTCAACTGAGAAAGCAGAATAACATTTATTATATTTTTATGCCTTCAAAGGCACCAAGAAAATTAAATTTCGACAATGACCCATAAGGTGTTGATATACCGTTAAATAAACAAATAAATCTAATTTTCGCTAAGGATTTTTATCATTTTTTTTTTGTCCCCTTTTCTTTTCCTTTCTTCCTTCCTTCCATCTTTTCATCCTTTCTTCATTCCATCCTTCCTTCAATCATAACTACACCACATTCTTTCATTAGATAGGGAAATTGATTTTAGATAAATTTTTATTATTATTTAAGGAAAGGTGTGAACTTCTCGCCTGTAATCCTCGCAGCTATCTCTTTCGGCTCGGCGAGTTGTTTACATTAAAATTCTCGGAATCAGATAAGCAAATTCACTACATATGAGTCAATAAGTTATCGATTGTCTTCGTATGGCAGAAGTTACTTTCTAATAAAGAGGAGTTAATAAAAAGGCAAAAAAATTATAGTGACCAATTTTGTGCAATCAGTCGGTAAATCGATTCAAGTGCGATAAACATTCAGCCTTTCAACACAGCGATCAATTCAGGTCATTCTCTTCTCTCAGGTCATATCTATCTATCTATCTATCTATCTATCTATCTATCTATCAATCTATCTTAGGCTGTTCATCTGCCATCCTATTAATGTATATCTATCACACCTTGTTAATCTCCGTGTCTGTTAATATCTATCTATCTATCTATCTATCTATCTATCTATCTATCTATCTATCTACTATTTGGTTCTTACATATCTATTATATGCTTCATATCTATCTATCTATCTATCTATCTATCATCTATCTATCTATCTATCTATCATTTCATTCATACATATCTACCAATATCTATCTACTATTTGCTTACTACATATCTATCTATCTATCTATCTATCTACTATATGGTTCTTACATATATATCTATCTATTATTTGCTTCATACATATCTATCTATCTATCTATCTACTATTTAATTCTTACATATCTATTATTTGCTTCATACATACATATCTATCTATCTATCTATTTATCTATCTATCTATCTATCTATCTATCTATCTATCTATCTATCTATCTATCTATCTATCTATCTTCTTACATATCTATCTATCTTTTTCTTACATATCTATCTATCTATCTATCTATCTATCTATCAAGTATCATTTTCTTCATACATATCTACCTATATCTATCTATCTATCTATCTATCTATCTACTATTTGCTTCCCACATATCTTTTCTACCTATCTATCTGGTTCTTGCATATATATCTACCTATTATTTGCTTCATACATATCTATCTATCTATGTATCTATGTATTTATCTATCTATCTACTATTTGATTCTTACATATCTATTATTTCTTCATACATACATACATATCTATCTATCTATCTTCTTACATATCTATCTATCTATCTATTAGGATTCTTACATATCTATTATTTGCTTCATACATACATCTATCTATCCATCTATCCATCTATCTATCTATCTATCTATCCATCCATCCATCTATCTATCTTCTTCTCCATCTAGTATCATTTCCTTCCATATCCATCTATCTATCCATCTATCCATCCTATCCATCCATCTATCTATCTATCT